GTCTAGCGTATACCTAGTAGTCTTGTACTTATATCAACCTAAATAAATTTCTCTTCTCTTGAGCATGTATTTGCGCATTCACATGTCCAATAACTTGAGATTCTTCATTTGTCTCTTGACCCCAATCCACCTCCGGTGCTTGACGAAGTCTGATGGCGGGTAGAGCTCAGAATCGTTGTTGGGAAAGATGTAGATAGATCTGATGGTGTTATAACAACTTGTTCAAGAATGTCACTACTTTGGTGCGCACCACCATGGCCATTCTGGCCACCACCAGCTCGACCACCTCGTGACGTGGGTATATTACGATCTCGAATAGAGTCGCGAACGCTAATGCTTGGATTTTTGATTAGGTAATTCCTCGCATTTTCTGCTGGTGATGGGTAAGGGAATGGAACCCTTTCTTTTCTTGAGTTAGTTGTCTCTGCGACAAGCCCAACGATGAATCAACTCACTATCACCATACTCATAATACCAATTAAGATCTGCCATATATCCAGTCAAGTGGACATCTTCTGGATGATTCGCAACCGCCTGGTCGATTAGTTGCAAAGCTCGCTGCCGTACTTTCCGTTCGTATTCATGGCGTTGTACAATAGTCCAATCCTTCGCATCCAGGTCCCGTAAATGTTTCTCGATTAGTTCATTTGTTCGAATGACAGACATGTATCCCCGCGGGGGGACGTTGTAAGGCATTTTGCACCAGACTTTTGATTTTGAGGTAGCATGAAAGTTTCAAAATTTAATTGATCTAGATACAGAATTGAAGGAAGTCTTCTCAGGCTGGCCAGTGAGCAGAGTGAATCCAGCTCGAGGACAAAAGACGATTCACTACCTACTTGAGTGAATGTCTTCTGGCACGTCATTCAATTGTATGCCTCAGTTATACCTGTGTCCTAGAAACATGTCATTAATATATTCATAATGTAGTTTGCTTTAGACTATCAATAATCTATCTGGCTTTCTTTTTTATGGATTTTTTTCCGAAGATGAATGGGCTGAAAGATTTAAAAGATTTAAAAGATTCAAAAGCATATGATGATCGGCAATAGGTTTTCACGTTTCAAGATTTCATTAAAGCCAATGTATACCCACGAGAGAATTGAAGGAGGTCATCACGAGGTGAGGGACGAAGCTAATCACCCGATACAAACTCCTTTATATAAACTATATAGCTATAAACTTTACGAATTCGAGGTTTCATGAAAGAAGTATTCAAAAGTTAGCCACGTCATAATACTTTGAAACTTTTCGAATGAGACATACGGCTTTAATGGGAGTTAGATGAAGCCAAGTACATCAAAAACTACGCTGGTGTCAGCGGGTCTGCCATTGATATAACTTAAAGTACCCAGTCTTGGAAACTTCTTTAACTGATCAAACTGACTCGAAAATTTGAATGGTAGCGTGAGACACCTAGGTGTTAAGTTTGACAATTGAAACTGCCTCCCTTTCCGAAAAGGGGGCGTATAGTTGACCAGTATCTACTGTACATAATGCTCTCATATCGTCCTCTACACAACAAATCTTTGAAAAAGCTACTTCCAAATCACAACAAAACTCACGACAGAAACGCACACCACCATACCAAAGTGAGGCCAAGGAATTTTGATGAACCTATCCTAGCGTCCAGGCTACCAGAGGTCACAGTATCTACCCCTCACCTGTTGGAACTATGGAGTCTCGATTCTGATCAGCGATCACAAGTTTTTGGTGAACAAAACATCAGGGTTTGCAAGATTGAGGCTTCATAAAGTGAGGTAATATTTTTGCATGGCGACTTATCAAATGTAACAAGACATTTGAGCCACTCGCATCAAGAGCAGAGCAAATGATGCTCGAGCTTTATCATGGATGATTATCAAAATGCTAATGATGAGGGATAACGGTGATAACATACCCAGGAGTATTGAACTTTCTCTCATGGGCCCGGTTGGTGGTGTCTCGGCTACCGGTCGGGGACATGCAGGGCAAAGACCTGCGAACTCTTCGAGCACTGCTTCAAAAATAGCATCAAATGCAAGTTCTTTAGCCTCGGCTACGAGAATAAAAATATGTTGAATGCATTCACTGTCCTACATTTACGCTAGCTATCATTAGTCATCAAGATATATACCTTCTCTTGATTCCATAGTCTTAATATGATAGCCATTACAATGCAAGCCTCCGTATACCTACAATAAAATATATACACCTTAAAATAGTGGTGGGACATCGAAGAGAGCGAGCAGCGAAATTGGTTTGATAATGCAGATAACACTGGCGATTTTGACCATAAAGGCGACAAGAAGAGATGAAAATTTCCAGATGAAAGCTCACTACATAGCATGCCTGATTATGTTTATATTTGATGGAGGCTCCCAAAGACCTCTGGATGAAGACCCCCGGGGTTTCCCAAGTGAAGTAAGACCTCCTCCATGATTTGTTCAGTGGTCATGGATCTCAATGGTGCGCCAATTAGAAACTCTATTGCTGGGAAATGAGTCTCAAAGCATCGAGTGATCCCACGAAATAAGTTGCTCGTTTGCCCTGATGGCGGAGTGTACTCAAACTAGCCTTGGCGATTCCGCGATTGGCGAGGAAGATCCAAGAAAGATCGTGATCTACTTAGGAAAATACTATAGACACTCATCTGTAGTACGGTGGGGGAACATATGGAAGATCTCATCAAATCCAATTTATTAGGACCTGATTTATTGCCATCACTCCAGGAGTGGTCTGGCTGAAGCTAAAAACAAGATGCATATGCATTCTCATTCATAGCTCGTTCTTGCAAACGAATGAATCTTGTTTAGAATATCTCATCCAAAATCAAAAGTGCCGCAGCGATATACAACCAGGGTGACCAGAAGTTTGGACCTGCAGACTGGATGCAAATTTTCAACATCCGGAACAAAATCATCATTCGAAATGAATTTAGTGATTCATAGTGTTCGAATGTTCTCATTTTTATCAAAATATCATAAAAACAAGAATGAAGTCCTATGAATTGTCGAAATGCAGTCCAAACCAATGCACATATGCAACTATCCTGAACGTTGTAAATTGAAATGCTCCACATGCCATTCACAGCCTGCTTCCATAACCCTTTTCACTAAATCGCATGTGATTAAGCAAACGCACAAGCACGTAAGTGTCACGACCGCTTGGTCCATGATCTAACGAACTTTAGTATCATGTATGTGATATTTGAGTTTTAGAGGCATTAACATCCATCGTATTTGGAGGCTGTGTTGGCCACGAACTGCCAACGCTTTGTACACAATGAGAGCAGTTAGTCTCGGCCAGAGCATTTTCTTTTCCTATGTCCATCTACCTCCCGTGCGGGGTATTTCTCACATTTGCACCCCTTTCAATCGAACGATTAACTATTTCATGCACGTGTCTAGATCTATTTGTCAATTTATCTCTACAATTGGTTACAATGCTAGGATTACACGTCATGATTGGACATGAAGCGTTGAAGAATTCGGACGGCGTTTCAGACAATTCTGGAATTTTCATGGCATGATACGAATACACGAAGATCAGATGAAAAGATTTCAAACCATTTCCCCGGTAAAATGAGAATGTCCGGAAGGAAAACGGACTCAGCCTCGTTAACAATCGAACGTTCAAGAGATTGTCAATACAAGAATATTCATATGACGCTGCCATGACCTCTCCTCTAGAAAGATGGAGTCCAGGAACGCCTCGAAAGTTTGTCGTTACCCAAAGGGTCTCTGTACTGCGAATACAGTCAGCAAACCAACATCGCTAGGACTTCCGGACATCTAGACCATCCTCAAAATCCGCATTTTTCGTTTTTAAGTTTTTGGACTTCATTCGGATCCACTCCTCGCCACTGCTACTTTCTTAGTAGGAATGTATATTTTACCCGATTTAGCATTAGGACATTATGGAATCCACATAGAGGATGACTCTTTGAAGATTTTTATATACTAAAGAAAAAATACTTCAAGAAGAGAATGAAATTTTCGTGGAGGCTGGTCGTGTGATGTGTTGTACAAATTTACAAGAACGGTGTGGAATTTCTATTACAGAAAGAAAGTCGGTACATTGCTTGGTCGTTGGCCTCGGCTACGAACGTTTGAATGTTGGTACCTGTGTACGGGGAGAGTATTACAGTAAGACATTGAATTAGCATGGAATCGTAGTCTCCCCCTCTCGCCCCTGAATCTAAAATCTTATCTACTCGAAATCATTTCAAACATTCAAATACTGAATCCAGTAAGATATACAGAGTAGATTGATTCGTATCAAGATATTAGGTCCTCAGGTGTATCAATGTCGATCATGAACACTCCGATTGGTATCAAAATCATCTCATCAATGATCACTCTGATGAATACCTGGTGCTGTAGTAAACCCAAAAATACCCACTTGCAGTCATTTACCAAAGCCGTCATCATATTTAACTTTTTGTTGATTTCACACCAGCAACCACACCGTGCACTTGCTATATGATCCATAATTAAGTACATTTCTCAGCATTTCTCTTGGCTCTTGAACAGGGCTGACAAAATACCCATCCATGCCTCCTTCCATGCTTTACCATGTGCACACTGCACCAGGTGCTACGCCACAGACCATGACCATTGTGACCTATCAGCGCTTACAATGGATGAATATAAATGCAAGACCCGGCCACAATCACTATCATTCATCAATAATCCAAAAATTTAAGGTTTATAGCATCGAATTGATTAAAGAGCTGTCGTGTCCTGCCATTTCGTACTCGTCCCCCCATAGAAAGAGATCCATCCATCACTGTTATCATCATAATCATATCATTTATTTATTCTCCATTTTTTGTGCCCAATCGTCCATCCCAATTCCACACAGCGACATATTGATCGATCACTCTATACCATATATATCATAACCTTCCTCTCCTTGTGGCTAATCTCCCGCAACATATTCGTCGATTAGAACCTAGTCTTTCATCAACTCTCCCATTCACACTCGGGCAGTTCGACGTAGCTAATCAAAGTACAATCATGTCCGGGGCATTAAGTCTGCTCGCAGAGCTCGACAAGGAGACCAATAAAGCTCCAAGTCGAAAGAACAGTCAAGCAAAACCAAGGACGAGCAGATCAACAGCAAATTCGCGATCATCTTCAGTCCAATCGTAAGTTTTTCGAATTCTTCCCCGAAAATCATCTCACACTGATAACTAACACTGAGTGCAGAAGGGGACCATCACAAACACAACGTCCAACCTCAGCCCCGGGGCCCAGTCCAGTAATTCCACCTCAAAATATAACTCCTCGACGTACTACACAATCTACAAATGTCACCCCTCGAACGTCATTTGAACTTGGAACTGAAAGATCGAGATCCCAAGGCCCGGATTCTCGAAGAGTTTCATTCGCAGAGGCCCCGCGACCTCAAACGAGAACTCTAATGATACCCTCGAAAGAAAACATGCCATCGTCCGGGTTTCCGTACAACATAAAATTGAACAAATATGGTGTTTCCGAGCACGAATGGTCACAATTCACCAAAGAAATAATTGAAACTCTGCCACCGTCAAAGAGCTTTAGCTGGTTATGGAAGCGTGGGAAAATTACTGCGATAATCAAAAGAGACCTTCAATACGAATCGGAATTGAAATCAGCTTTGAGGCAATGGAACAAAGGATTCAGACGTAGAGGCTTCCAGGTGTATCTGGAAATTCCAGTCGAGAAGGATTTGACCGATGATGAGGTCTCGGGAGATACTAAAGAAGAAAAGAAGCAAGCTAAGAAGGATGCCAAGAAATTCCGATTCATAATAGGTGCTGGGAATTCTTCTTCCTCTTCCGTTTACTCGAGGACGAGTTTGGCGGAAAGCGTTAGTAGAGAAGATAAGGCTAAACCCGCCCCGATTTCGCGAGAGGAAGAGGACCAACTAAATCAAAAGTTTCCACAAGCTCAGACAAATGGCACTGGGACTGCAACCAGTACGACAGAAGGTGGGCATGACGAGGATGAATCTTCAATTGAAAAGGCTCCAATTCTTTCACCGTCAACAGACACTGTAGACCATGCTCCCGGTGCGGTGTCCGTGTCATGAATTTCGAATTCATCGAACTGTAAAATATGAAGGAGGGGATCACGACATATAACGAAGATAAATGATGATGGTTTGGTTGGCGTTTAGGATTTGAATCGTTGTTGCTACCGATTTGGACATGTTTAATGAACGGGTAGTTTTAGGCTCCACTCAAGGTATTGGACCAACAGAACGGGTGAATTGGACATTGTCATGTTATGTACATTACTCCCTGATGCATAGCGAGATTTGTACACCGAAATTTGTATATTAGATGAGAATTTAACCATTACCAGCGGCGGCTTTATGGGTCTTCTCTTACTGTGGCCTCTTATCCCTAGAATTGCATTACCAACATTTGTGATGGAATTGGTGAGTAAAGCGGAGGGAATGAGAATGTATTATTCGTTTACTTCGAGGCATTTTTTCTTTTCTTTCATTGGTTCTCAAAGTTCTCTTGTCATTTTGTGCCCTTTTTTCTTGAATCTCTGTTCCATTTTGTCACTCATCTCAGAAAATCTCAAGGATTTTTTGACAGCCACACAGTATTTGACCCTGCTCCAGCCGTGTCGATCGCACCACGAAAACCATCTCACTCGGCGCCGCTACTGAAGAATCATATCTCCTATTGCAAGCGCATTCTTAGTGGCGGTATCCACTGCGGTAATCACTTCTAGTCAGGGGTGACGATGTATTACCTGGCCATACTTGATGACCTCATAACAGGAAACTCTTTTAGGAAATAAAACCTTCTATACATACTCAAAGTACCGCCACAATGAATGCTTTTGAGGGTCACGTTTGTTTCGCGATGTTTCCCAGCATTACACTTTAATGTTTGTAGAGAAGTCTTTTTCTCGAGTGATGAAATTTGGCCTCTGTGACGGACACCAACAATATTCTGCGGCTTTTTCATGGGCCTTAAGAAGGTGAACTCGGCTTCAATACCGATAGAATTTTTATTCGGCCTTCTATGAAATCGTGATTCATATTCAAAAAGTGTCTGGCATAGAGAAATCAATAATTGATGTGGTCAATAGTGACCCAAATCATGAATCTATAAACAATTCCTATACAACAGTTGCAATTACCATCACATAAATAGATTGTGAACTTCCCATGTTTTTAATGAACCAAATGCGATTACAGTTCCTATTGCTTGAGAGTAGACGCATGCTTTATTATGTTTTTCACAGTGTTGCTTTGTATAGCAATTCTCATTCCGTCTTGTCTTCTTTCTGCTATACCAAAGCAGGCGTTATCAAATATTAAGAGAACTTCAACCTCAAATTGCTTAAATACTGCATCGTCACGGAATTGTTGGAATGGTAACTATTCGATTGATACAGATTCGGAGGAGGCATGGCCAGATACTGGGGTTGTTGTTGCTGTATGTATTTAATGTGTTGTCAAAGTTGTTCATATCTCATTCTTCGCAGTACACTCTTACCATAACAAATCAGACTATGTCACCCGACGGTACACCAAGATGGATGTTAGTAGTCAACGGCACTTACCCAGGTCCTACCATTACTGCAAGTGAGTTCTTTCCAATGTGGCCCCCGTTCCACAGTGCAATGTTGGCTCATCTCTTCATAGATTGGGGTGATACACTAGAAATTACTGTTGCCAATCAAATAATCACAGACGGGTAAATATCTCCCCTGCTTTTCTTATCTCACCATCAAATACTGAATCTATTTAGTGTAAGCATTCACTGGCACGGAATTGTTCAGAAGAATACCAATACCATGGATGGTGTAAATGGAATAACAGAATGTCCAATTCCACCTGGTTCATCTAAAATCTACAAATTTCTCGCAACCCAGCATGGTACCTCTTGGTATCACTCCCACCATGCAGCCCAATATGGTGACGGAGTTCTTGGAAGTATTGTCATTAACGGTCCTGCTTCGCTGAATTATGACCATGATCTCGGTCCACTACCAATTACTGATTTCTACTATAAGTCTACCTATGAAGAAGGCCTTCTCTCTGTTAGTAAAGGTCCTCCAAAAGCAGACAATGGCCTCATAAACGGAACCAATCGAAACCCTCACAAAACCGCTGGAGTGTACAATCAAGCATCAGGACTAGTTCCAGGAGCAAAATACCGTTTACGAATCATCAACACGAGTATAGACAATCATTTTCAAGTCACTTTAGACTCTCACTCTTTTCAAGTGATTCAAACCGATTTCGTACCGATTCAGCCCTACACTACCAACACCGTCTTCATAGCAATTGGTCAACGATATGATGTTATCATCACAGCTGATCAAACGCCTTCCAATTACTGGTTCAGAGCCATTGTTCCCAAACCTCCGACACAAAAGGGGTTTGGCTGTGGTCAAAATGCTAATAATGGGTCTATCAATGCCATTTTCTCCTATCAGGGTGTCGAATTATCGGAGCCAACTTCCAATTCCTTTCTTATACCCCAAAGCTGTGAAGACGAGACTCAACTAGTCTCCTGGCATGAGAAAGCCGTGCCCGAAAATGAATTCGTGTGGCCTACCGCCCAAGAATTAGTTGTTACTGGCCCAGGAAGTAGTTCGCTTCCAAAAGCACCCGCACCATATATCTGGAGTATCAACGATACATACATGGAAATTGAGTGGGATAAGCCCACGCTCCAATATGTTACCCAGGGAAACAAAAATTACAATGTACATCAAAGTATCATTGAACTTCCGGATGCAAATGTATGGACATTCTGGATCATCAAAAATGCCGCGGCGGTACCACATCCTATTCATCTTCATGGTCACGACTTTTACATATTAGGACAAGAGAACAGTGTCAATTTCACAGATAAATCTACTTTAAACTTTGCTAATCCTGCTCGGCGTGATGTAGCCATGCTTCCAGCTCTCGGGTATTTAGTTATTGCCTTTGTTACGGATAATCCTGGGGCTTGGTTGTTACATTGTCATATCGCGTTCCATGTCGGGGAGGGGCTTGCACTTCAATTCCTAGAACGAGAATCAGAAATTGCGCAAAGAGTAGATCTTTCCGCTGTAGATGCGGAATGCAAGACATGGGATGCATGGTATAATACCGAGCGGGTTGATAATGCTTGGAACACGGAATTTGATTCGGGTGTCTAATCTGGTAATGATACTTGATGGCGTTTTGTTCTGTATATATTTATTATATGGGAAAAGGCTTTCTTCATTAAATGAATAATTTGGTGCTATACCATTGGCAGTAGTCATGAACTGTTTTAACCGCAATTGCATCCGCTCGCGTATTATAAAGGGGTGAGAACTTTCAAACCGCTAGCATTTACATAATAGAAGCAAAATTGAAACCTGATATGCATTCATGATAGCTTGCGATGCAGGCCTGATAACTGGGAGAAAAGATAAAGCGAAGTGCGGGCGCAGTTGAGGAGTTACAAGGTAAAGCCAGCGAGTTCAGATCTATGTACAAAGTTCATATTGTCACAAGAAGCCGCGTATGCGTTGACGATAAATATTTATGGATAGTTTATAATTCAGATGAGAGAGTACAGCGTGAAAGAAGCAATGTGCCGGGGAGAGTCCAAATATTTTATACTTCAATACCATTCCCATGTTGGAGTAACACCGTACTTATCTTATGGCTTGGTGGAGACGAGACAAATTAAAATTTCGTAAAGTGTAAGTTTGTGTTTGTGTTTCTTCTTGGCTCATGTTTTCAAGCTAATTGTTCTATTCTAATACACGATCTTAAGGATGCCTATTAATTATTTATCATTGGAGCCAATTTTTGAACTACTATTGCATTGGTTCGCTGGAATCTCCGTTACGGTGATAAATTTGGTTGCCACTTGTGAAGATTGTGATGACAGGAGGACTAGTTGTCATGTTCGTCCAAAACGCGGGGTTTTTAATTGTGTTACATCAATAATCTAGTAACTCGAGTCTAGAGTTTTACACCATATGAACAAGATTATCTGGAGTAGTAGCAATGGGATGGAGAAGGACAAATTTACTATGCCGATAATCTGCAGGAAATCTCTTTTGCGTTGTAGTTGACACATGTTCTTGTTGAAAGATAACTATCCATGATTTATTGCTTTGGTCTCTCTCCTCGGAAAAAGACTTTGCATAAACTCATGGTTATATATCTATGTAAGATACAGTTTCTTCGAACTTTTGATGATCGGCGTCATCTTTGCGAAAATTGAGTCAGCCAAGGCTTTAGCCTTTAAAGATAGTCCGGTCACGCCATTTAATGCATTTGGATGTCTGACGTAAGTGAAATCTAATAAACTATAAGTAGAAGGAGTTCATATAATGCATTCTTACCTTCATGCTTGTCAAAAAGTTATTCAAATTTTGTGTTCTTGGTACTCAAAAAATAGCATGTGAGAGATTTGCGGATAATTTTTGTGAGGCACTGGCTAACTCCAAAATATCCATCAGTGAAACAGTTGCAAACGAATACCAAAAACTTGAGTTTTGAAATTCTCTTCAGTGTCATACAAACATACAGTTACTAGGAGTCAAATATGTCTAAGTGGTGTCGTCAAGAACCTTCAAGAGCTACTACAATTTGGTGCATAGGCGCCGTCGTATTAGCAATGACGTTGGGTGGATTCTTTATTGGCTACTATTGGGATCGAGACGATGTTTCCAAAATGCGGTCGAAAGTTTTGCTTGGGCTTCTAGCATTCCCTCCTGAAGACAGATTAGAACGGGTTCTAGACCTATGTATGCTCCCTCTTCGAAATTGTACAGAATCCCGCGCAATTCATGACAACGAGGAGGCCATACAGCATCTTAATCGAATTATGTCGGTAGAACAATGGGAAAGCAGACTGGATGTCTCTAATTTGAGGTGCTTGACATTGGAAGAACGTAAATATTTCCAAAGTATTGCACGCCACAAGAAATATGGATGTCCCAGGTCTGACTGTTGTAATCAAGAAGCCATGCTCCGGAGCCGGATCACAAACTATAATAAGAGAAAAGCAGAGCAAGAGATTAAGTCATTGAGTCATATTTGTGGACATGATTTGTTTGTACGAGAAGCATACGGAAGACGTAGCACCCACGATATGTAGGTCCTAATTGTCTAATTGTATTCTGTCTGAAGAGCTAGCTATGTACAGGAGGTAGTAGGCCTTATATAGACCTACTGAAAGAGCTAGTCTCTTCTTCATTCGCTTAAGGCTTTGTTACAGTAACCTTACTATAGTAGTAATTGAATTAAAGTCATTCACTTTGTTCACACATGATTGTTCTGGCAAGGATCTGGAGAAGTGCCAATCACGGTGCCAAGAAAATCGGGACAGAAAGCTAAATAGACTTTTGAGTCTGGAGAGAATCAAGTTCTATGTACAAAACCTTCTCCCGGGAGGAAACGCCGATTACTGATACGATATAAAAAAACGGCTTGACAGAACGGACTAGGATTTGTGGTGAGTAAAGGGACGTCAATTATGCTTAGTCAATCTCGAGGCTATACACATACAACGACCAGACTTTTCAAAATGTATGATTATCGAAATTTGAGGAACTTAGTTTTGGCATGGAAGTATAGCAATCCAGACCTCTCACTGAATCTCAGGGTGGGAGCACATTTGTAGATTTGTATTTAGATCAAAAATTGCGGTGTGCATGGTGCTGAGTATCCTGGCTTGTCCCCATTGGCGCAGGTTAGTATATGAACTGCAGTCTACTAAGAAAATAATCAACTGCGCAGAGCTGTGGAAATTTCAATCTCTTGGAATTTGCAAGAAAATTTGTAATCTGTTGGCATCTTGTTGAATGGTGGACATTTCAAGTTACTTTCAATGTTTGAAAACTCGTCAACATTTGAAGATCATTGGTTCATGCATATGTGCAGTGTGGAGACAGACAGACAGTAGGAATACCATATTATATCACATCTTGTCAATCAACCCGAGTCGTTGACAATATCTATACATGGCAGTTAGCAATGTCTAGTGAACTACTCACACCTTTCAGTCTAAGGGGCTAAATTTCAAGACTATTTCATTTCTACCCCCCCCCCCCCCCCCCCCCCCCCAACCAGAATCTCAACCCATGTCCCATATTCCGAACGAAATTTCAAGATAGAAACCCAAAAAAATAGCAGGCGCTATAGACTAGGACTGAAATCTGAGGAAGAAACTTGCAACAGTAGACATGTGTCCCATCAGAGAAGGGGAGCAAGGGGTGGCAGACTACTCGTCACCCCTTGAACCACCAATCATCGAAATTACGACAAAATTGGACATCGAGAACAGAGACGACGCTATATGACGAGTCGAGAGTATAGATAGCCTAAAAACCATGAACTCGTCCTCCTTTCGATCTAAAGTCATCTCATTTCAGACTGATAATCTGACGGTGTCAAATATTGAAATGGGAATGGCAAAACGAGGGTAGATATCCAAACGCACAAGTCACGACAAAAATTTAGTCATCACGAAGTTGTGTGCGGACCGTGGAGAACCAACAGTATTCCCTCGACGCAAATTCTTAGACCTGTCAGTCAAAAAAATGTACAAATGTACATAGACCGGCCTGACTTTCGAGGATCCCATTTGAGAAGAACGAAACAATTTCTCCGTTACAAATGGACTGGATGAATCCTGTAGGCAAATACATACATCCCATCATTGATCCGGTGACGCCAACTGTACATACGTCCATATATTTCCGGCCCTCACTCCAATCCTTCAGTTAGCCGAGAAGCCTCTATATACCACAGCTACGCTACACCAGCTATACCGGAATCTCACCCGGTAGTATCGCTTCAATTCTCCAGCCAGCTTCCCATCCAGGAATCGGTGTCGAACGAAAACGGCACGGAGGCAGATGGGATCGTATCTTAAACGAGACATCACGACATAGAAATACGTGCGGACAGCCTCGAAAAGGCAAGTTGTCAGAATGACCACGTGGCTTGGCAGATGCTGTACTACGTGTAGCTAGCATGATAATAATTTATTTTTGGATGTAAGAAATGGTGTGGGTATGGGTGAGGCGAGGCGAGGGCATTTCCATCTTCAATTAGAAAACTCAAATGCTTGCAAAGTATTGAAGAGTTGCTCAAATATCAAGAGCAATCGAAGAAACATTGAGAACTCATAATTCGCAATTGGCCACCCATCATGGAGTACAACCAGCTCATGAGAGGAAGTTAAATTCTCATCCCGTCTTCCAAGCCACCTGCGACAAAATCTGCATGCCATCCCGAGCAAAACCACAACATGTTTCGTCTCCATTTTCTAGCAGGTTCTCGCATCTATACTTGTCCCGTTATTTCCATATTCGTTGCCTGCAGAGAAATGGAAATGGTAAGTATACTGCGTATCATCTTTTACCGTTCCACAAACGTACAGTATTATCTGATCGCCGAGTATGTGATGTCGAACTGTACTGTCGTACTGTATTTCAAATAGGATTGATGGACTTGCGATTTGCTTCAGCTGGTAGATTTTTTTGTTCCTCAATTTCTGCCTTCCCTCTGTACTTCCTAGCTCTTCGTATGCGAATTTCGAGATCTTCCATGGCTTTCTCGGTATTAATCAATTCCGGAATGACACCCATCATCTTGATACTATCTTCCTTTGTATCCTTCAAAGCCTGAGGGGTGAAAAGCCCAAACATTCTTAATGGGTCCTTCTTGAGAGCAGTTTTCGTGTCATCATCGCCGTTTGTATCTCTGTTCAAAAGGTCCGATTCCGATTCCGAAGTAGAAGTTTCGTTAATGGCGAATAGAAGAGGAGGGGTAAATTTTGTCGATTGTGTATTCGAGGCGTTTTCGGGGATCGTTACATTGCATAACCTCTGTGCTTGAATACGATCATCATAGAAAGAGGTATCGTAACGGATTCCATTTTGCGGCGTAAAATTGGCTCGGGATAAATTGATGTACATCTGTTGTCGCTCGTATTAGTATGAGTGCCTAGTAAATTAGATTTCCTGATCATCACCTGGGAATGGAGAGAGGATACGGGGCTGTGTCAATGATAAATGAGGGGTGAGAGGGATGAGGGGTTCAATCATCAAGGGGTACGGTGAATATATTGAACAATATCATTTTGCAAAAAGAGATTTATAACTGACAGATGACGACAATGCGGAGAGCTTAGATCTTAAAGCACTGTATCGATCCAAAAGTTGAAGGTATTGTTCTAACAGATGATCAATTTCGAGGGTGAGTTCTTGAACGGTCGAGATAGAGATGGACATGGTGAAATCCGAGTTTGGTGAATTGGGCTTCGATGAAAGGGGCAAAGATAAGATTAAGATATCGCAGTGATTCGTACGTAGTGTGCTGTGCGTTGCGTCGTTTGTTGTAATTTTAATGTTATGAGCTTATGATATGATTTCAGCTCAAAATTTCAATATTTGGATCGTGATTCTCGAGGGAGTTTGGGAAGAATAGCTACCTAGCGACCTAGCAACCTAGCTAGTATGGAGCAGTCGTCTGTATGTAAGACTACCGGTACAAGACAAGACAATAATTACTAGGTACTGTGTACAATTGAATTGCCAAGTGGAGTACCAGCGAGCCAGCGACTAGGATCTTATCAAGGATCATGGAAGAACAGAAGAAAACTCGTGGAAGGTGGAGAATACCTTCTAGGCAATTAGTTGGAGACTGCTTAATAAGGAAATCCGGTCGATTAATTATCTACTCGAGTCAAAGTAAGTCAAAAGGAGAATAAATGAAGATATTGATGATGTGTTGTGCTGTGTTTTACGAAATATGGCACTACAAAATGATGATTGGTGAGGGTAGTTAATTCATACTACCTAGGAATGAATGTTTTTTGGTTGAACGTTGGAAAATCTTCTTTCAAAATATAATATGCTTGCATGCAGGTGGGTGGTAACTCTATCCAATCCAGAGAGTATCACTACAATTGAACTTCACCACACTCAATCCATACACATTCAACCCTTTTTTCGAGATTGACAACGCTCCGCTGGGCTACTGCCGTGGAGGCTGTCTCGCTTCGCTCCTGTTAGAAAAGGAGAGCATTTCGAGGACTGGAGTTGAAACTTGTTTTTGATAAGGCTGCTATAAATATTTCCCTCTTCACTCTCCAAGCTTGGGTAGTATATACTTCGTACTTCGCATTGAAAACTAGAAAGAAGAACCCTAGACCTTGAATGCCATCTACTTTTCTCACTACCTATTATCTACCTACTCATTATCGACTTAACACGGCTGTACCTTAGTTGCAGATGTAAGGGCATTGGTCGTAATCAATGGTTCTGTCGCATTGATACGTAGATAATCAATATTCCGCTCTGATATCCCGCCCTATCTATCTGCTTCGGACCCTTACCTGCCCTACCAGCATGGCCTGCTTCAATCTAGGCTTGCCCTTTTTTTCCCTCCTTTACCCACCTTGCTTGTTTTGCCCTTCCCGAATCCTTTCAAGCGCTGAGTACCTGGTCCATTGCAATAATGTGTTGAATGCTGGGGGTATAAGCAAGCTGCTAGAGTTTGATTTTCAGCAGATAGTCAACAATTTCCGTTTGCATGAGAGGAGTTTGGAGATTTCATTGCATCAACTTGCTTTATACTTTCTTCCAATTTATTTTCTTCCAATTGGAGGGAAAGGGACAGAGACAGCAACAGGAACATCAACTAGAGTAAGAGCAAGATCAAGGGCATTCAAGAGGAAAAAAGGTACACCGATACTTGCTATACCTAGCTAGATACCCATTTATTCATTCATCCCTTTAACTCACCGTGTAAACCACTCATTGAGAAAATAACCTTGACAAACCCAATTTTTATTCAGTCGCTGCCTTTCCAACGCCCCGACTTCTTTCCCGTCAAGTGTTGAAACTAATAGTACACCACACAGTTACAAGAACCAAGCCAGTACAAGACAGCATAACAACACCCATACAGCGCTACCTTCATCTACCTACCTACCTACCTACACTAGAATACAAAGTGATGAATCAAAAAGAAGCACGAACCACCGAACCACCGAACCACCAAAACACCAAAACACCCTACTTGCATCGCCGAAACCATTAAAATCCATCTATCAAGCCATTCATAGGAAAATTTAAAATACGCGAACCATACAACTAAGTACAGCGAATGATGATAATGATGACAATAATGACAATCATGATAATAATGATAGTAATAGTAATAATAGTAATAATAACAATAATAACAATAATAACAATAATACCTAATAAGAGTCCCTCCCTACCTAGTAAGAAAGGAGAGAAAATACTAGGAGTTCAATTATTATCCTCATCCCATTTCCATCCCATCCCATCCCATCTCTTCCCATCCCCATCCCCATCCCATCCCATCCTATCCCCATCTCGTTGTTGTCTTGTCTCGCTCGAGCTTGTCTTGTCTTGTCAATTGTCTGCCTGAT